ATGGGCAGGGGGTGTTGACATGCTGATTACTTCTTATTTTTTTATATGTGTGTGGTGTGTATGGTATTCTCTTATTTAATGTAAACTCTCTTCTCAAGGGTGAGGTTTCCCCATTCCCTATTTTTCACCCAGCAGTCACTCCCACCCTCATAGATGTCTGGGATGTTTCACAACCTTGGAAGGTAGAATCATTAAGCATTTCCCTTAGGATAAACAGCTCCCAATTTTATAAAGTCTTGAGTCTTCTTAGGAGACCTCCAGCAACTTTGGCTTCATTTATGTCCCCTCAGATGGATAATGTTTGACTCTACGAGGAAAGATAAAAACCAGTCTTTAAAGATTTTTTAAAAAATGATTGTAGATACAAAGAAACTGTAAGAGTGACAACTCACGTATTAGTAATAATGTTTATTGTGCATCTACTTTATGCCAAGCATTAGCCATATGAGGTGAGCGATAATAGCCCCATTTTCTGGAGGGGATAAAAGAGGCTCAGAGAGATTAGACCTTTTGCCTAACCGGGGTCATACAGCCCCTGAGTGAGAGATATCATGTTTTTCCCACTGTGTCCTGCTGCTTTAGATTCATAGCATGTTACAGTGTTTATTTCCATCCCTGTGTTGAGTGGCCATTCATGAGTTCAAGGAGTAGCAGCTGCTTTATCTTTAGAACATATATACCCAAGCCTTCAAACTGAAAATTGGAGGGGAAATAAACCCTGATCACAGGCACTATATTTCAAATGCTTGTAAACCACCACCTAACTTTCTTTCAGACACTGGTAGCTTTACTTAAAACAGATTCCCTGAGCAGCATTTTTTCATGAATACAAGCAATTGCTGCACGGGAGATCTAACTTCCAATTTGTTTGGCTTCTGATTGTTGTGGAACCCTCGTTTACATTGCTCTTGGCTGGTTCTTTCTTAGGCACCAAATGTTTTGTAATTAGTTTCAGTCATAATGATTATGAGCAATGATTACTAGGTGTCTAGGGCCTGTACAGCTCTTCTTCAACAGTTAAGATCTGACCCTGATTAGGAGTTCTGAGAACAATTGAAAAAAAATGGAGATGAGCATTGCAGCGATTACTGAAGTTGCCATTGATGGCTGTGCAACAGGATCTGAATGGCTAATTTATGCTTCATTCCTCATTGTAGAAGTAAATGTCATGGGAATAGGAAGGAGGCTTGGGGATATGAAAGAATTATGCAAGAACATGTGAGCTGCTAGTTTAATAGGGGGAACAGATGCAAAAGGATTTTTCCCCTTTTTTTCTAATAGCAAATTATTATGCTTTAGTTGATATTGTACCTAATTGGTATGGATTTTAGAATTTAAATGATGTCTGCCATCCTTATGAGGTCCCTTTGAGGTAAAAGGCATAGGTTGAATAGTCTCACGTAACAGGGTTAGTAAGAATCAGCCAAAAAAAAAATGAGTCTAGGTCTTCTGGATCCCCTGATTTTTGTTTGGTTGACTCTCATAGATTAAATAGATGAATATTTAGGAACTTGTTATATGTAATGAAAGATTAACAATTTTATAGATGTTTAAAAAAAATCCCTGGTGTTCTCATAAAACCATAAGTGGAGAGTGGCAGTGTATAGTAAAGGTGAATTGGATGGGGGGAAATTTGTCTTACCAGAAAGTTTCATTATGGTCTGATTGGGCAGGAAGAAGGTTAAGATGCATGGTAAAACAACATGTACTTTGATTTGAGCCCACAATAGCCACTCAGTACATACTTGTCAAATTGCATAGCCATTTGGAGAAATTACATTGTGACGTTTTAACTCGTTATATCAGTTTTATAGAATTACTCAAGCATTTATTAACCACATGCTCACTCATATGGCCTTTATATTTGCAACTTATATAGCCACATTAAATAGTCCTTTAAAATGTGAAGGAAAGAAAATAAATTTTCTGAATGATGAAATGAATTAGGATTAAGGATGCATATAGTACCAAGCTAGGCTCTTAAAGTATAAACACACACACACACACACACACACACACACACACACACACACTTTCCTAGACATAATGTGAGTTGTGGAAGCCAAAGTATGGTTCATGGTGGGTGTTGGACAGGGGCATGTCAGTTTCAAATCAGTCCCCTCTTCATTAGGCCATTTCTCTTGTACTCCGAAGTAGCTATGTTATATATGGCTACATCAACCCATAAACTCTTAACCTGAATGAGGAACTGTAAGATAATGTTTTATTTTTTCCATAAACTGTTCAGTGATTTAGTGTTTGACTTTCAGCACTTTGTCAAAAGGCTAAAACTTGACATTCATTAGAAATTTGAAATTAAAACTAAGCTAGAAATGCCACACTGTACGCTACCCCACCCCTAAAAACCAAAATGACTCTAGGTGACATTCATTAAAAATGCAAGTGAGTTTTGACAGTTACCTACTAAATAAGTGTGAAAGCACAAGTCAAATAATTCTGAATGTCTAGTTTCTTCTGATGTGTGCCACTTTTATGAGCAATATAATAAAAATTCAGTATAAGGAAGGACCTGTGGTTACTGTTGGAATCCACTCTTTTTAGTCATGAAATATTAATAGCACTGGCTTGACACAAGGCTTGCATATTGTTCCCAATGATGACGAGGCTTTATTTTTCCAATATGTGATAGCTATGTGTGCAACACACTGGTCATGTAGTAACGCAACCCACATGTGCCTTCTTTTATGTCTTCCATGAGCAATCACCTCTGGGCAAGGATGCTAGCAAAATTCAAGCATGGTGTGGAACATGGACCAGATGGCATTTAAGCTCCCTTCTCAATTTTGAACTCTAGAAAAGTGCTGCATACATTTAATCATCTATGTTAACACTTAGTTGAAAGAGGTCTACACAAGAAAATTTTTCCCCAAGACAGTAAGAAAGTCATTCCTAGGAATGTAACAGATTTATTAAAAAACGCAATTCACTGGAAAGACATTTTCTCTTAATTAAAACATTAATGCTTACCCTGACTGCTTCACACTCAACACAGCCCCTGAGTTGTTGGTGGTTGCAACTGACAGGTGAAATGGGAGACGTTTCAGCGGCTATAGCAGTTGTTCTCAAACTTTAGGATATATCAGAATCACAGATGGCTGAAAATTTTGGCCTATCTACCAAGCCATTTGGCATGTGGGCAAGCCAGTTGCCTAGCTGGTGCTGAGAGTGCCCTTAGCAGAAATGGAATGAACACCAGCAAAAGGGACCCTCCAGGGTTTCTGATTCTGTAAGTCTGGGGTAGGGCTGCGAATTTGCATTTATAGCAAGTGCTCAGGTGATGCTGATGCTGCTGGTTCCAGGCCCACACTTTGAGAACCACTCAGGGGATTTTGGAAAGAATAAAAGGCCATCCCAGGTAGCTGATTGGTGTGCTTCTTGTATTGTTCCCCTAACTCTTTGTGCACTTTCTGCCCTCTCACTTTCAGAGAGAGAACTTTGGTAAAAATGGCAGGCTGCACACTTAAAATGGGGTTGAGTTGACCTGCCTATTTGTTTACTATGCAGAGGGAGTCAATTTCCCTTTCTTTCTCTGAAGAAAGCCTAGTAAATAAAAGGCAAGCAATAGTAGGGAAAAAAATAGATAAAAGGAAAAAGAGAGAAGCAAAGAAAAAAACCCACAAACCATATGTACAATGTTTGAAAAGCTGGAACTAGAGGAAACTGTGGACTTCAGCCTCAGGCCTCAAAGCAACAACTAAATGATGAGTTAGGGGCTGAGAGGCATAGGTGTAGAATCTCCTTGCATGTCAGGAAAGTCACACACATATATCTCCCTGCAAAAGACTTCAGCTTCCTCAGTCCAGGTTTTGAAAAGCTATTTGGAATTACTGGCCACTTTCTGAATTGCCCACCCAATGTGAAAAGAGAACGGTTTTGTAGGACTATTGCATTTTCTTAAGCTCGCCAATATTCTGGCTTTGAAGTAGGTGTCATATTTTCTTTTCTGCTCCATATTTACTCAGAGGCAGTTTCTTATTTGATGTGGTCCTTATATTTTGCTTTGGTATTTGTTATATTTCCTGCTTATAAACTTGATATCACGAGGTGTTTATTTTTATAACAGGCAAGAGATTCTTTAAGAATGATTAATGTTATAGATACACTGTTGGCTTGTTTTTTTCATTGAAGTTCCTGAGGAAAGCTTCAGATGTAAACTAGTTTGCCATTTGTAGTTAAGAGATTAAAATCTCTAATACTTAGGCTGTGGCTATATGGTAGTCAAAAAGTTGATCTGAAATATACTGTATTTATGATTAAGTTCATTATGCATTCTTCTCTCTCGCGCGTGTGCACACACACACAAGGAACATTGAAAATAGTCACATGATGTTATTGTATGAATCCTTTAGAAACCCAGATCACTGTATACTCCCAAGTTGTACTACTGTCTCAGAGAAACACCCAGGAACTTATATTCAGAAAACTCACGTGCTTGCTTGTAGGGGCGTTTGAGTATGTTTCTTGGCCTCAAGCATTTTCCAGGCAGCTATAGTGCATGATTGTATAGATAAATAAAAAGGAGAAATGAAAAAGAAATTTATGCCCAAGTAAAATAACAACTTTTGAAAACACATGTCCTGGTCTTAGGTTACAATTAGGAGGCATAATTAACTTTGGCTTATATTCTGAAGTAAAAAATTCTGGGAAATCTCATGTTTTAGGCTTAATGTGCCCATTTTCCCCCCAATGTTTCTTTATCCACCTATGACAGAGAGAGAGAGAGAGAGAGAATACGTGTGTGTTGTACTCCTGAGAAGTTGTTGGTTTACATTTTCATTTATTTTCCTCTCACAGACACCTATGTAAGTGACTTTGTGACATAGTTTTCCTTTCATTGACAAATGTTTCGTACATACAAACATGTTTTCTAGTTTAGTTGTGTGGGTTGTTTTTTTTTTTTTTTCAGTTTACAAATTTACTAGAAAAGCAGTTATTTAAATACTGAAAACTCTTTCCTTTTTTTTTGGTTTTGTTTTTAGAATTCTTCAAAGAACTACTTGAAAATGCAGAGAAATCCCTGAATGATATGTTTGTGAAGACATATGGCCATTTATACATGCAAAATTCTGAGCTATTTAAAGATCTCTTCGTAGAGTTGAAGCGTTACTACGTGGTGGGAAATGTGAACCTGGAAGAAATGTTGAATGACTTCTGGGCTCGCCTCCTGGAGCGGATGTTCCGCCTGGTGAACTCCCAGTACCACTTTACAGATGAGTATCTAGAATGTGTGAGCAAGTATACGGAGCAGCTGAAGCCCTTTGGAGATGTCCCTCGCAAATTAAAGCTGCAGGTTACTCGTGCATTTGTAGCAGCCCGTACTTTTGCTCAAGGCTTAGCGGTTGCCGGAGATGTTGTGAGCAAGGTCTCCGTGGTAAGCACTCTTGTCTTCTCTGTTTTTGTTTCTGTTTTGTTTTGTTTCATGTTAAAAGAACGTTTGGGAAAGGTAGAAAAATAAATCACCAGAATTCTGTTGGCTCAATAGCAGCCTTTTCTTCCTCTCTTACCTCTTCTCTCCTACACTTTGTCCTTATACATGTACATTTTAGAGTTACTAAACAATACTGTGATCAGACTCTTCACCCATCATTATTATTGTGGTTTCTTTTCTAGCTATTCTTAGAAGGGGAAATGTATATTTACTCAGGAATCTTCATTTTAAAAGTGGGTTAATACTGCCATACCCATTTTAGCTGTTATTCTACTTCCTTTCTACAGAAAGAAACATACACACACAGGCTCCACATTTGGTTGTTTCGTGTGACTATGAGCCTACTGGTTACAGTCTAGAAAAACATTTAATCCCCATGAACATGTGTTTCCTTGTTAGGAGGTGTACTCTGCTCTTTGGAAGATAGGTTTCTATGGCAATTAGTGTGTACCATACTGCTGTTGACTCATGATTTGTAGGATTACTAATACAGAAAGTGAAATTGTAATATTTGACCAGGAACTGATGAAATGAATCTGTTTCCTCATTGGTAAATTCAATGAATTGGTCTAGATAGACTCTGTTCTTTTATTTTCTTCTTCTTCTTCTTCTTTTTTTTTTTTCTGAGACAGTTTCTTGCTCAAGTGCCCAGGCCAGAGTGCCGTGGCAGGATCTCAGCTCACTGCAACCTCCACCTCTGGGGCTCAAGCGATTCTCCTTCCTCAGCCTCCCTGGTAGCTGGCTAAGTTTTTGTATTTGTCAGTAGAAACGGGGTTTTACCATGTTGGCCAGGCTGGTCTCGAACTCCTGTCCGCAAGTGATCCATCTGCCTTGGCCTTTCAGAGTGCTAGGATTACAGGCGAGAGCCACCGTGCCCAGCTGATAGACTCTGTTCTTGAGCAGGATCTTGCTCTAAGGGCCTCCATGAGCAGAAGTAACAGAGAAGGAAGTCTTTTGTGGGTGAGACCATGCAACCGTGGCTTTACCTCCCAGTTCTACCAGAGAATCTTTGCTTTCTTTGATTTCACACAGTAGGGATCTGAGCAAGATTTCAAGGGGAAAAGGGTTCCCACTGCTCCTTCACTGCCACTCCCCTGCCCCAAATGAAATCTGAAAACTTCTCTAAGACCTTACCACCTCTACCTTTCCAAAAGTCGATACCAGGGAAGAAACAGAAATATACTGGGGCAAAGTGATCTTTTCAAGGCTGATAGTGCTGTCAACTTTAGGCCCTCAAAGGGAAAGCCAAGTTGTAGGCCGGTGCTAAAAAGCCTGGATGCACAGTGACAGCAGATTCTGCTGAGGTGATTTGGTTGTTTTGAGGACTGGAAGAATGGACAGCATAAAAACTGGACAGCACTACAGACATGAAAATAGCCACCTGATTGCCTCTCACAGTTCATCTACAGTTAGGGTGACCATATAATTTATTGTCCCAACAGGACACTTATTGTCTAAACCAAGAGGTGCTTATTAACAAATTAGTCACAGACAACAGGTGTCACTAATTGTTTTTTGAGATGCAGTCTCATTCTGTCACCCAGGTTTGAGTGCAGTGGTGAGATCTTGACTCACTGCAACCTCCACCTCCCAGGCTCAGATGATTCTCCTGCCTCAGCCTCCCTAGTAGCTAGGATTACAGACATGTGGCCACCACACCCAGCTAATTTTTGTATTTTCAGTAGAGATAGAGTTTTACCATGTTGTCCAGGTTGGTGTTGAACTCCTGACCTCAGGTGATCTGCATGTCTCAGCCTCCGAAAATGCTGGGATTATAGGCATAAGCCACTGCGCCAGCCAGGTGTCAGTAATTGTTAATAAGTAACCGTGTCTGTCGTGGAGTGGCCAGGATACATGGGTGACTCTAGTTACAGAGAAAACTTATGTTCACCAGAGTGAAGATAAAGATTCTAAAGAATGGTTTATTATGAAAAATAGGTGCTCATAGGGTTTTTCATATTAGAATTGGGTGATAATAAGGATTCGTTCACTGATTGCATACATAATGTTGGTTGTTCTCTCTCTCATCTCCAGGCCATCAACTGGCAGTAAACAATTTTTTCTAGTATGTTTTTTTTCACTCCTTATTTGATATTTTCATCATAAATTGCAAATATTTGTTGAGGCATATGATGGTAGAGTTGAGGGTAGGTGGGGAGATGATTGTTATAATTAAGGAAATAATATCTGATTCTTGAACCTTTGCCAACCCCAGCAACCATTGTTAATCTTGGACCTACTTATGTCAGAGTCCCTAACATAGTGCACAGTGAATCCAGATCAAAGATGTTTGCATCGTGGTACACCCAGCACATTTGCCCTCCTTCAACAATTCCTCATGTTCATCCTCCACTGAAAGGGCAGAAGGACACTGCCATGTGATTTGGACATCTGTGCCTGCATGTGCACGTGTGTGTGTGCACTCGTGCCAAAGAGAAGGGCAGAGAGTCAAGAGCTCTTTGCTAGTGTTTGAAAAGTGCTTTCTTTATGTTAACTCTCTCCCCTTTGAGTTCAGTGCTGACTTGGAGAAAAAGGGCCAGACACTGACTCAAGCCTGCCTTGGTGTTGGCCTCACTTTGCAAGGTTGGAGCTCCCTTGGAGAACTGAGATTCTGAGATTCTGGAACTTGTAAACATGGATGGGAAGGGTAGCCAAACCAAAAAGTTTAGAGGCAATTGATTGCAGTTAGAGGATTGAAGGCTAGAAAAGGCTTGCCTTTGTTTCACGTCTCCCCACCTCCCAGGTAAGGGTAAGTAGCAGTTGGGCCTTCCCTGTGTTGCATTCTTCTGGACAGTGTTCTCAGAATTAACTGCGGGAAACCAAGAAGCTTGACTTCGATATGTAAGATTCAGACACCCTTACTTATGCAATAAAGATATGTGACCCAATATGAAATAGTCACAGTCACTTTTTCTTTATCCTCTCTTTTTAAAAAGAGGCAGGATCTCATCGTTTCACCCAGGCTGGAGCACAGTGTCATGATCATAGCTCACTGCAGCCTCGATCTCCTGGCCTCTGGCAATCCTGCTGCCTCAGCCTCCCAAGTAGCTGGAACCACAGGCATGTGCCATCACGTAATTTTTGTTATTTTTTTATGTTTTATTTTTTGTAGAGACAGTCATGTACTATGTTGCTCAGGCTGATCTTGAACTCCTGGCCTCAAGTGATCCTGCCACCTCAGCTTCCCAAAACACTGGGATTACAGGCATAATAACTTTCTATTGTTGCTTTTGGTATGAGTTTTTGTTAATAGAAAAAGATGCCCTGTCCACCTTAGTATTGTTAAATTCTTTGAGGAAGTTACTTTTTTTTTTTTTTTTTTTGGGACAGAGTTTCTCTCGTTGCCCAGCCTGGAATGCTATGGCGCAATCTCGGCTCTCCACAACCTCTGCCTCTTGGGTTCAAGCGATTCTCCTGCCTCAGCCTCCCAAGTAGCTGGGATTATAGGCATGTGCCACTGCACCCAATTTTTTATTTTTAATAGAGATGGGGTTTCTCCAAGTTGGTCAGGCTGGTCTCGACTCCTCACCTCAGGTGAGCCACCGTGGCCGGCCTTGAGAAATTTACTTTCTAAATATAACCCTAACGATTTTTTTTTTAGGCTTGATCTCTATTATATAGTCATTGTATTCTCATGTCAGCCTAAGAGATACTTGTGTAGTTTTATGGGTATACAGTGAATAGGAGCAATATGGATGAGTTTACATAGAGTAAAACATAACTTGTCAATTGTTTAGTTGAAAATAAAGTTTTGTGGCTACTTTAAGTATTGTGGTCACAATTGGGAATGTCTAAAAAAGATAATGTTTTTGCTTCACCACTGAGCTTCTAAACTTAAGGACTGACATGAAATCAAACCCTTTAAGTTATAGTATCTAAATGAATAAGGACCATAGGCATCAAATCAGTTTATAAAGGTGCTGAATCAAGAATTCTATAAATATCAACCATCTGTTGAATGCATCTATATACAAGCACACAAGGCATACTTGCATACCTGAGAAAATATTTATTACGTTAATTTTTGGAAGATGACAACCAGTTAAAAAACTTGAGATACAGTGGTGTAGGAAAGACAATAAAGGATCTGGCTATCAAAAAACATTTCAAAATCAACATGTTGAAAAATTCGTTTGATTAATTTATAAATAAGATTCTCTACCAGTTTGGATACCCAAGTAAGGTTTTATATATATATATATATATATATATATATATATATATATATATATAAACAACCAAGAAATGAATGTTTCTTCTTTTGGTGCCCAATAAAACTAATTGCTTTGGGCCTGAAAATAGACCTTTCAAAGTAAGGGATGTGTTCCCTAATTGAAAAGAGCCACATCATCACCCACTTCGTCTGCAGAGATTTTTTTCTGTCCTGTTCTTTTCTTTTTTCTTTCTTTCTTTTCTTTTCTTTTTTCTTTTTTTTTTTTTTTGACACAGAGTCTTGCTCTGTTACCCAGGCTGGAGTGCAGTGGCATAATCACAGCTCACTGCAGCTTTGACCTCTGGGACTCAAGCAGTCCTCCTGCCTCAGCCTCCCAAGTAGCTAGGACTACAGGCACGTACCACCACACCCAGCTAATGTTTCTTTCTCTTTTTTGTGTGTGTGTTGGGGGTTTCACTATGTTGCCCAGACTGGTGTTGAATTCCTGGCCTCTAGTGATCCTCCCACGCCTGCCTCCCAGCGTGCTGGGATTATAGGCATAAGCCACTGCGCCTGGCCTACAAAGAGGCCTTTGAAGTGAAATATGGAAAGCATCATGGTCTTGTTTGCATACATAGAGATGTTCCCACTTTCTATTTATGAGTGGATGCCCTGCTTTTCCAGTTTACTTTTGCAGCAAAAGGGTTGCAGTTAAAAGTTGAGCAATGATGTGATTATCACTGAGCCTTTGCAAGGCCATTAGCCACCGGCAAGCTTAAGTTACTTCAAG